ATATTAATATAATAAAAATTATTACAATAAAATATTTTTAAAAGCATTTAAATTTTCTTTATTTATTTTCAAAAAAATTAAAAAGTCGGAAAACAAAATAATGAAAAAATATAATCTCTTCATCATCTCACACTATAATATCCACAAAAAGGTGTGCTCTCTAATATTGTATCAATATAGCCAAAGCAAAATATATCAATACAATAGTGTGCGGGGCACTCAAACAAAAAATTTCACACTCAAACGAAAATAGAACACATTAAGTAAAAAATATATACAAAATAAAATATGTCAAGCAAAAAACAGCAAATAAAATGTAAAAAAAATACAAATCAATACACAAGACGAAATCTATAACACGAGAAACGAATTCAAATGAACTTACACGTCCCGGAATCTTTCACGAATGATTTAAAATATTTACGTAACAAGATTGCTAGATTACAAAATATGAAAACAGAAGCGTAATTAGAGGGTTCTTTTCAATGGCACGTTCCGACTGCAGTACTGAAGCGCGTTTGGTTTGTTAGTTACCTTGGATTAGCCCGAAAATGGATGCTCACAAAGTAATAAAATTATATTGGAGAATTATATTATATTTTTGTTATCCAGCAATGAACAATTTAATGTATACACTGTAAAAAAATTTTGCGTATCAGAGCACCAAAAGTAATAGCAACTATTTAACGTAAAGTGGTGCTTCACAACACAAAGAACCAATAATATTTCCTGGTGTAGTGAAACACCTAAATGTTCTTTTACACTACTTGATGTAAAGCAGCCGCCACCATCTTTGTTGTTTAAAGTTCATAATTACAGTAAGATATGATGCACATTGGCATCAGTAAAGTTACTTTTATGATAATAAAACAAAAATCATGCATTTATTAAATTAGTGTACAGTGAAATGACAAAAGTCATGGGATAGGAATATGCAAATATACAGATGGCAATAGTATCGCGTACAAAATGTATATATGGGTCATACACTCTGATTTTCAAGTTATACGTCTGAGAATATTTCTGGTGCAATTATGACGCCCTCAACGAGAATTAACAGACTTTGAATGTGAAATGGTAGTTGGAGCAGGACGCATAGGACATTCATTGTCAGGGAATTCAACATTACTAAATCTACAGTGTCAAAAGTGTAACAAGAATTTCCAAATTTCAGGCATAACCTCCCACCATGGATAACGTAGTGGCCAACCGCCTGCACTTAATGCCTGAGACCACCGACGTGTGAGTAGTAACGTGTGATAACAGACAAACAACAGTGTGTGAAATAACCACAAGTATCAATGCATGACTTGAAATGGACGAGTCCGTTTGGACAGTGTGGCGAAATTTGGCTTTATAGGATATTGTAGCAAAAAATCGACTCGAGTGCCTTTACTAACGAGTGCCTTTACGTGCGGTGCAGACCCCACGAGAGCCAAGTTATCAACAAGAAACTGTACAATGGGGGGGGGGGGTTTCATAATAGTGTGTGTCACATATACACTTAATGTAATGTGACAATTTAGTTTCTAATTTTACCTATGCCTTTAATTTTTCTTTAAACGTTATTCCTTTTTTTCAATTTAGCAATTTTTTTTAACTTTCTTGTTGACCTTTCTCATGGTCATTGCGGTCATCGCACTTCCTGTGGGGAAAGTCAACCAACCCCTCTATTCACGCCTTTCTTTTTCTTCTTTTAATTTTAGGGTGGCTAACTCTCCGCCTCTTTAAATTTAATTGGCCGTAATTTTTCTGGTCTACCCCAGTTAAGGAATTGTTTTAAGTCACTTTATATACACTCTCTTTTTTTTCTCGAGCTTTCGGGCAGGTTACCCTTTTTCTCCGAGATGCGGACTTCGGTCCGTATCGAGGGATTTCTTTATAAATTTTTTTCTTAACCTTTATCTTGAATTAAATTTATAACTATAATCAATTTCTGTAAATTTAAAATCAACATTTTATAACTTTTTTAAAATATTAAAGACCCTCTTAAATTAAGCTTTCTTTCTATATATGTCTTTTCAATAGTTAAACCTTTTTCGCTTTCCTTTTTTTTATGCATGACATAATTTCTTTCGTCACCCATTTCTATTAAAGGTGTTCCTAATGTTAAAAATTGTTTTAAAGACGTTTTTCCACGTTATGTTGTTAGATATTTTTCTTAAATAAATCTTAAATGCAAGTTAAAAATTTGTATTTCTTTTAAAATGTCCTGTGTGTACAGGGTGAGTACCTTTCAATTATTGTTATGGGCATGCATATATGTGAATTTATTAGTTTTTCTTATTGGAAACATCAGCTTACTGTATTAAATATATATATGTTTGGATATAGCATGACTTTATCGTTTTTATCTTTAATCTTCAATTTATTTTTAGTTTCGCCCCTTTTCCAAATTTGGTCATACCAAATCATCCAATTTGTTCAAACCTCA